ATGTTATTGGATACGGTAACATGAGTGCACGCATGCTGCATCATTGTAACTTCTGTATTGTTGGCCAAGAATGGCTGAAAGGTGAATATAATAAAAATGATATATATATAAATGTATAATGGTAGAGATTTAAGCTATTTAGTCTAAACATTTATGTTTTCGTGTTATGATTTGAATATTATGTTATTGGATACGTTAATATGAGTGCACACGTGCTGCGTAATTGTAACTTCTGTACTGTTAGCAAGGCATAGCTGAAAAGTCAAAATAATATATATATATATATATAAATGTATAATGTTATGAGATTTAAGCTACTTAGTCTAAACCTTTATGTTTTCGTGTTATAATTTGTGTTCATTTTAGAAAGAAAGAGGCTTAATTTATATTTATTTCCTAATTTTTTATGATGGTTACGAGATTGGTCAAATCTACTGGACCCATACAGAGATTAGTTACTGAAAATAACAGATAAAATATAACATCTTTTCTTAAGAAATGTTTGATAACTATCTGGACATTATAAATATTTTGCATGTGAAATTTGAAAATGTTTTGGTGGATAAAAGTATTTTTCATCTTAAAATGAAAATTACTTTGCATGATAGATAAGCAGCATGCGAAAAGAAAAAAAAAAGGCATGAGAATAACATTGCTTTACAAACCTTAAGACTTACTAAAAAAAATGATATTTTGTGTATGGAAGCATTGTAATGTTTACTGATAATCTGCCAAATTTCATTAACATTCGCTTACTAATTTAAAATGTATTGCATCCAAAGTATAACAAACACAAAATGGTAATAAGGTCAGTCCCAAGGACCGAGCCTGTGCTAAATAAGTTAATATTCAGTAACGAAGCACCAGAAAATTGGAATCTAGGTGAAGAAGGGGAAAGTTATTTGGTAATGTCTACTTCACATTATACCCGAGATTGTAATAAGGCACCATCATAATTTTTACTGTCTAAACTACTATGTTCTGAGATAGTAGTTTCACTTCCATAAAAGCTGTTTTAAATTTCATCCCAATCACTGTGGCTTTCAACATTCTTTACGGGTTACAAACATTACTCTCTTACCAGTAAACAATATATTTTGCTGATTAGAGTGCTGAACATGTAATTAAGAATAAATCTAAGACAGATCAGCAAAAACAGCATTTCTTATGCCATATAGTGATCACTGATTGTAATGCATGATAACATGTAAATACATTTGGACAAATAATAAAAGATACACTGAGAAATGGTTTACTTGAATTAGCTCGGGCAAATATTTTTTAAACATGGAGGTTGCCAAGTTATCCTGGGCAAATCCTGGAAGGGATTAAAATATCACGATTGATACCATCTTAATAATGAGTAAAAGATGCTATTATGGTAATGTTTTGTCAAGTTAAAATAAAATGTTTGTAAGTTATTATAAAAATTAAAACATTTCCAACAAAAATATGTTTATCTTGTTTACCCTTTCACAATGGATAGGTCAAAGTGTGCATGTCACAGCCATATACAGAGTTACATTCAGAATTTAATTGAACTACTTTATTATCAATGTATACAAATAAACTTGACCTCAAAACATAGCTAATAAATCAAGTATCAATACAAGTTTTAGGTTTTTAATTTTAATATGGAAATATTTTTTAAAATTCTAAATATTCCCATGGTATCAGAATTGTGACAATTGTACTCCAGGTCTTCCCTCTTCTTTAATTTATTTACCACTTCTCTGAGAAGTACAGAGTTTAACGTAATTTACACTAATTGTTATATAGATATTACTCAGGCAAAGTATAATTTTTATAGCATTCAATCTTATTTGTTTACAGAACTATAAACTAGAAAATCCAACCCTATTTTCACGCTGGCTTGTCGCATCCTCTGTTTCATAAATTGACAGTAGTTTTTTCTGAGATTTTTTACTTTTATTATTTATAACCAACAGAAAGCCAATGTTTTAATCTATCGAATGACGTATTATATTAAATTTTTTGTATAAAGCATTGTCTATATCATCATTCAGTTTCAGATTTATTCTTATAATACACGAATAATTCTACACTAACCTTCAATAAATAATGTAAGCTGCATATTTGTTGAGTAACTTGCATCTTGTGTGGGGCAGGATTATTAGTTAGACACAGTTCAAACAGCAACAAAAAAGTTAAATTAAGTATAAATAGATGTATTCTGTTACAATCTTTAAGCTATTTAGGATAAATAATTGTGGTTTCCTGTTGCAACTTGCATTCATTCTAGAAGAAAAAAGGGTAATTTAGATTTATTACTAATTTTTGTGGTGGTTACGAAGTCAGCCGACCCTGTGTATAGTTATGGTAGAGAAAACAAAGATAAAATATAAAATTCTTTTGGTAAAAAAAATGTTTGAAAACTTTTGTTATTTATTTAGGAGGTTTTAGAGATTATGCAAATGAAATTGAAAATATCAGGAGAAGAAAAGAGTTTTAAACTTAACATGAAAACCACATCACCTTTCACTCAGAGCAGTCAACACTGATTCCATATATTTATGGGCAATTATTTTTTAAAAATACTTAATTAAAAATTCAGATTTTTTGGTCTACAAAAGACTGGTAATATTTACTGAGATCATGCCAAACTTTGTGAACATTCATTAAGTACTTTCAGAATTATAGTATGTATAATTTCATGGTTACAAGTTACTTAACATGGTGGTTACAAGGTTGTGTTAAATACACAAGCCCATTGCAAAGGGGTTCATTCTTCATATAACAGTAAGGATTGAACCAAATTTGCTGTTCAGTACTTACCACAGAGTCATCTTTAACCCTTTCATTCAGTTTTTAATGATTTTTTTCATACATAGAACAAATTATTGTATAGAAATATTAGTAACATTGTTTTGAAAATATTCCATGATCATAAACAGTGCATTATTTTTTCTCATTACTGCAAGTTGAAAACAAACTTGTATTGTTTTAAAAAAGAACTTGAAGTTTCAATTACATCAAAAGTTGGTTTTTAAGAGAAACCTCAAATAAAAGTTTTATTTTTACACTTCTGTGCAGGTTGCTGTTACTTATGATTGCTTCTAATGTATATTGATGATTGAAATATGCTTTTTAATTCTTTCTGCTTCCTGTAAAAATTTAACTGCCAGTATTTGAGATTTGCCTTTGTGCTTTTTAATGATAGTTTTTGATTATAGTTAACATTGTGTGAAGTTTATTATTGGAGTTGCAATAAAAACTATTCTGAAAAGTAATATTTAAGTAGTGAACAAAAAGATTAAGACCCTGTTAGTAGAGCTACTAGTTTGATTATTTTGCTGGATTACAAGTTAATCCATGTGTTTAAAATAGTAGAATACAATGTGTATTTATGTATGTACTTCTTTTGTTTTCAGAATATTGCTGTCACAGATGCAATACAAAAGGTAGCTGAATCTTTCAAGTGTAAACCCATTGAAGGTTAGTGTAGAATTATAACAAAATTTAAAATATATGTATTTTTGTTTGGGTTATATGTTATTTATATTTTGATACATTACATCATCACACAAATTAGATTGGAATAAGTTTATATAGAGTTGTGTAAAAATAATTTAATATATTGTAATTGTCTTCCATAAATAACTATCCATAAGGTGTTTTGTTTAATACAAGAACTTGTTTATTAGATTGGGTATGTTAGAGCCAAAAGTTCATGAGAAGTTACAATTTTTTTGGTATTTTAACATCTGCTACATGAGCCAGCCCAATATCTTGATATGGATCCACAAAATGAGTCATTCCAGAAAGGTTTGAGTTGTTTTGATTAGACAAAAAAGAAGGCTTTTCGATCTATTTTCAAGGTCTAGGTCACTGGACCAGACTCATGAACTGACCCGAGACCATGGAGCCAACATGAAGAAATTAACTTGTAAATGTAAAGTAAAATAATGTGGCAATGAAACATGCTTGAAATGTTCTAGATGTAGTTGTGAATGTGATGGTTTAAGTGTAGTGATTAGGCTAAAGTGTAGGTCCAGGTCAGATGAGGGAAATTTGAAGGTTTCCCAATTGATTTGACATACTACCAGCTGAATCAGAGATTCATCAACTTATTACTGCATTGACAGTGAAACATAAAAAAAATGGGCACAGTAGTATCGTTCTTCAAAAATGGGAATTGGAATCATATATAAGAAATCATTACATTCAATATTTTGTGAGACTAATGGCACAGTAAAGCCCAAAGATGCAGTGTTGAAGTTGAAGGGGATGCACAATGCATAACAGGATGATTTCCCTAGCGATTCTCAAATTAAAAATGCTATTTCTGCAATCAAGAGTAAACATAAATAGGATGGTATAATCCCCAGTATGGTACCACCATAGTATAATCCATATAGGTTTCATCGTGTCATATTTTCATTAATATTTAGTTTTTTTTTCCTTTTAGAAGTTGTGCCGAGCTTCATTCATCATGATCTATTGAAATAACCCTAATTCAATGGTTTCCAGAAGGACCCCCTGTTAACCATTCCTGCTCAGTACTAGAAGATGCTGGGCTACCTCATGTGGCAGGTGTTAAGTGAGAAGTTTCTTTTGTAATAAAAAAAAAAAACAGTTGCATCACACTTATCATTTCATTGATGTGAAGGTTACAAAATATCTTTTTCAAATTATGCTCTCTGTACATAGGTATATGAATTGAGTTTAGTAAGTACAGTTTTAATGCTAAAACAAATAATAGAAATGGAATCAATACTCCTAATAATCTATATACTACTAAAACTCTGAGATTGTTTGTTTGTGTGCTTGTCTGTAATTAAATACAGCAAAAAGGTCTATAAAGTTTTGTGCAGAGAAAAAAGGATTTAGTACTTGGCTTCTTGAAAATTAATGACAAATAAAACTGTTTTCAATACACATTATGTCCCAATTTGAACATGTTTATCTATTTAAATGCTCAATTCATTTTTGTGTGAAGTGCTTAAGATAATGTTTATACCAAAAAGTAAAAAAAAAAAATAAAAAAAATGGGTTATTAACTAGATTGGTTCTAGTTGGCCATCATATCAAATCAATTGCTTGCTTGTGTGTGTGTATGGTTATTATGAACCATGCTCAAAATGGAATAATTAATTTCAAAGAAAAATAACCTCTTTTATGAAACACAAACTGTCTTTTAATTCTATTTTACTTTGATTTTAAGGCATGCCATCACATCAGTTGAAACAGTTTCAGATTGATGGAGAAAAATCTATAATTCAAAATCCTACTGAAGCACAGAGGTGAGAAAGAAATCATGATTATATGTAGAAAGACATAGATTTCTCTGCTTTTTATAAAACTTAAGCTAGTTTAGTACATATCTATCCATGTGAGACTAGGCTTGTATAGACTGATTGCCTTATCATTTACTAAAAAAAAATGTGTGTGCTAAAAACACATTCAAGTTTTTGGACATGTAATATAAGCCATAAAAGATTGATTTTTGAAAAATATTTCATAAATTTTTTTTTGTTCCACTTTAACCATATCACCACGGGTATCCTTTACTGCACTTGACACAAAGTTGTAGTGTCTTACATTCAAAATTTAAACTACTTTTCATGTTATACCAATTAGTATAGCATAAAATTTTAGTTAATAATCCACATTTTAATAGTATATAATTTTAAGATATTAATTCTATTAGATAATATTTTAAAAAATCCTAAATTTCCCCTAGTGTGACACACGACACATTTTCTCTAGGTATCTTCTCTTCTCTGTTTTATCCATCACTCCTCCAAAAAGTATGAAATTAAGCATAAATTATTCACTATAAAATCATCATTGCTCAGACAAACCATAATTTTTATAGCTTTCAATTTTATTTGGTTACAAAGCTATCAAATAAAAAATCAGACCCATCCTGTCATACCCTCTCTTTCAGGATTTGTTAATAGTTTTCTCTTACATTTAATTATATATTACCTGTAACAAATAGAAAGTCAAGGTTTTCATCTGTCAAATGAAGTATTGTATAATGTAGTGTTCTGGACAGATAAGCTACAATTTCACTCAGAGTACAACTTCCATTGCCATTGAAAAGTTTACAACTAGCTTGGATGAATTTGTAACGGCTCTTGTTGTATAGTTAGAATGCCATACAAATTTTGAGAGTTGGGGGAAATTGTCTACATTGTGCATATTATTAGTCTTATGTTCTTTGTTGCATTATTTAATTAAATACAAATTATTTGGTGTGTTACTACCAGTAGTATAGAAAAGTAGGCTGTCATCGACAATCAAGAGCAAGAAAAAGAAGACTGGGTAAGTACTTTATTTCTTGTTTTTCATATTTATTCTTTATTTATTA